CCTTCTATTAATACTTACTCATTTTTGCCTTTTTAAACAAGAATACAAATTTTTTCAAAAGCCTTATTTTTTTTTGCGTTGAACTACTAAAGTTTTCTATTAGAATATTTCCATACATCAATCCAGTACCGAATTTCTTAAGTCTACCCTATCATGGTGGATTTTTAAATTACTGTTGAATTCAGTAATGTGGCATTTTATTTAGGATTTCTAAATGTGCATTTTTGGAGTTGTTTTTTTTTTTATTGAGATGAGTTAATAAAAATAAATTGGGTAGCACTCCAAATTTTAAGTTTACTTCATGAAAATTTTATAGAATTCACAGATAAACTGTATTGTTCTGAAGCCTTGTCAGAGGGTATCTTGGAAGTATTTTCCATTTCTTCCATGGTCCATTTTTCTATTTCTACTCAATCATTTCATTTCTCAGGTGAAAATATCCAAGTTTGTTATATACAGTATTTTGTTATCTATCTAGAGACTCTATCAAGTGTATTGCTTTCCCTTTTCCAATTCTAAATGTTTCCTTTTTCCCTCTTGATTAGATGTGCTTGAATAGTAACTCTTTTCCTGACACTGGAGGGCTAGGATAAAGAACCAGTTATTGCATCTACTTGTCAAGTCTGTTCTTTCAATTCACTGTCTTCTACATATAATTTTCTTCTGATTTTCTTTAGTTTTTTAGAACTCTTCTAGCAAATACTGGTTTTATTTCCTTACTGTAAATAAACACATAACATTATAAACTTGCCATTAAGTACACTAGTAAGCAGGCTTCAAATATAAGACTGTGAAGCATGGTTATGGTGCTCCTACAGAGCTGAGATTAGTGAACATTTCTTTGTACTTCATGTTTTATCTTTTAAAATGTAATATGTGCCTTTCCCCATTCTACTCCATGTGTGTTAATCGAAAAATAGTTTTTCCGGGTATTAAAGCAAAGTAAATTGACAACTGCAAAAACAAGGTGGATTATATTTATTCAGTGATTTTCTTACATACCTTCAAATATTCCTAGGAGTAAAAGTATTCAAAATAACTTTGGCTATATCCAACTAGCTTTTAAGGCAGGATTTGCATTTCAGTCTAAAGTTTTACTTGCACTAAAACAATGCTTTCTTGTACAAAGTATAGGAAAGGTACCATAGTCCAGATCATATAAAAGTACATCTGACAAAAATGAAAAGGTAAGATAACTAGCTTTCATTTTTAGACTGTAATATAGCTCTAGAAGAGTTTTATATTGAGTATTCGGTGCAAGCAATAACCATTTATGTATATACTTTTATTTTCAAATGATTAGGTGTCTCTGATTTAAAACTATATTAGCAATTTCTGAATATACTGTGATGCAGAGTTCATGACTTGTATGATTCCTGTTTTTGAGAATTTCTGACACTTTCTGTGGTCTACTAAATAATTTTGTATACATATTCTATCACATTTTAAAAGGCCTATTTTGTTTGTAAGATACCAAATTTTATTAAGTCAACTTTACTAATTATTCCTCATTTTTAGTTACTTCAACTTCGTAAGACTAACATTTCATACACTGATTAGTCTGTAACACAAAGTGACATTTTAACACTAGATTCTTTTCGTAGACTTGAATTGTTTGAAATTTAGGTGCTCACCCTGCTTTATGCTTACTTTTGCCTAGTATGACTTTGTATACTCATTACATTTATTCATTCTGAATTCTCCATTCATTGGTTCCTCTATTAAATCACGTGATAATCAACTACATTTTTAATAAATGTGTAAGAGACTTGGATGTTCTGACATTTTTTCAACTGTCCTAACCTATCTATATATTGGGGCTTCCCAGGTGGCACTAGTGGTAAAGAACCCTCCTGCCAACACAGGGAAGAGAGGCTCAGGTTCAATCCCTGGGTTAGGAAGATGCCTTGGGGAAGGAAATGGCAGTCCACTCCAGTATTCTTGCCTGGAGAATCCCATGGACAGAGGAGCTTGGCAGGCTACAGTCCATGGGGTTGCAAAGAGTCAGACAGGACTGAAGCGACTTAGCAATGCTACATCGTTCCCTAATGTTCAGTGTTATAAGCAAATATGACACCAATTAAATTTTGTTTCTTAGTAAACAACTTTTTTCCTGGAAAAGCTTTTAGAAAACACTCTATTTGGGGTAAACCACGTAAACACCAAATTCCCAGGTAAATCTTGAACTTTTTACCTTCATTCACAGACCTATCCACTTACTCTTCCTCCTGTTTTTGAAAAATGCCATCTATGAAGAACCAATTCAAATGCTACTTTCTCCAAGGGAAGTTCCTAGGATCCATGTCAGTTCCATAACGTTTCCTTTATCTGAATTTATATCCCTGATGTACCGCTGTAGCAGTGACTAGATCTATAGTGTATCTATAGATACACTGGAGAATATCTACCACAAACTCTGGAGTCAGAACACCTTGGTTCAAATTCTAATCTGTCTCGAAATTTCGAGTTGTGTGATCTTCAGTAAGTTGTGCTCTCTGTGTAATACATCTGCCAAATGAGAACAACAGCACCTAGCTCACAAAATTTTTGTGATGATTAAATGAGCTGATATCAATAAAGTATCTAAATGATGCTCTAGAATATAGTAAGAACTATTTGAAGTCCTGACATGTATGCATAGGTGTGTATGTGTAATATGTGTGTTCTACATCACTGGTAATGAGAAAATTGTTGTGAAAGAGTAAAACAGGTGCTACCACAGAGGGAGAAGTATACAATGAATGGGACAATTAAATGCAATCTGTTTAGACAAGTTTGTGAGATTACTCTGTTTTATGGAAGCAGAAATCAAGGATGGTAACTCAAATTGTCCAAGGTTCAATTAGTTAGAAAGTGAGAGCTCAGACCAAGGGATATTTTATTTGGAGCTTGATAAGGTTGTGCCCTCTACACCTGTATTTTTTTTTTTTTTTACAAGAAGGATGAATGAGAATGCAATATCCAACTTGGAATAAACAGGACCAAGGGTAGAAAACATATTCCAAGTTCTGGAAACAGATTAAGTAAAAGACTGGTGGAGTGAAAATACATGGCAGTCTACAAAAAAAAAAATCAAAGTAAAGCTGGAACATTCAGCACAATGCATCACAAAGTAGGCACTTGGCTGAAATGAATTATTAATACAACTTTCAAACATTATTCTTTCAGTTTAGCAGTCTTTTGCAGTAAATAACCCCTTCTAGATGAAGCATCTATTCCATATAACTTGGTCCATTTCCAAGACCTCTGTCTTGAAAGAATGGGAGGAAAGGAGAGAAGGAAGAAGGAAAATAGCATTTGTCATTAACTAAAGTAAAGAGGTTATATAAAATATTAAGTGTTAGCAAGGTTATACAAACGTAATTAGGGGAATTCCCTGGCAGTCCTGTGGTTAGAGCTCCACGCTTCCACTGCAGGCAGACACAGGTTCTATCCTGGCTGGGGAACTAAGATCCTGAATGCCACACAGCATGGCAAAAAAAAAAAAAAAAACCCCAAGAGCAACAGAGGTAATATTTAGATGAACCTTAATTATTAGCAAGGTTAACAATTTCACCAACTGACAACGGATTTTGAAACATAACAAACCTAGTTTCCCAATCTTTGGGACAGAACAAATGCAACTAGCAGAAATATATTAATGGCATTTCTAAGGTGTAAGAACCTAAGTTGCATATAATTCATCAGGTGTATTACTCATCATCTGTGAAACCTTATTAATGTCGCTTCAACTTCCTTGAGTCAGTTTCCTATTTGTGCAAAATATTGTTCATGTTTTGAAGGGATTTGTGTAGGGATCTGAAACTCTGTGCCATGTTATTACAAAAATATTAAAAAGAAAAAAAACAAAACATGTACATATTCTCAAGCATTTGAATTACTGTCTTTATATTTTAATGCCACAGAAAATGGAGCAGGACCTGTGGAGTCTTCCAGGGAACAGAACTCCTGTATCCCCCATCTCTTATTTATAGAAAACCTTTAGCCTCCAAGGCCTTTCCTGAGTTCCAAACAGCAAATTCAATCAGAGAAATGAGACAATGCAGCAACAAGCAAAAATAGTCAGGCAAGACAACGCTCAAACTACCACACAATTGCACTCATCTCACACGCTAGTAAAGTAATACTCAAAATTCTCAAAGCCAGGCTTCAGCAATACGTGAATCGTGAACTTCCAGATGTTCAAGCTGGTTTTAGAAAAGGCAGAGGAACCAGAGATCAAATTGCCAATGTCTGTTGGATCATT